GAGAGAGAGAGAGAGAGAAATAATAAGTTTTCTTGGTGTATTATAATATCTAATATAATATCTAATATATGCTGTTATAACGATACAGGTGTTTAGAAGTAAAATTCAAATTAGTTAATCAACTCTTATGCGACAGTTTAACAAATTTATCAACGAAAGAAATAAAATTGGACGTTTTTGAATTGAAAGATTATGCTATGAATACTAAAAAGCAGAAACATATTTTTTCTGATATTTCGAAGATGATATTTCGAAAGCGACGGAGGGTACAATCTCGAATAAATTTTTCTGTACCAGAAAAACAAGATCGAATCATATCTCAAATTGAATCTTACTTTTCATCCCAGTTAAAAAAAGAATTACAAAATAAATTTCAAAATCGATTTCAAAAGTACATTTCCGTGAAGACAAAATCTCAGGAACGTAAATATCTGTTACAGACACTCAAGTGAGTACAAAGAATTATGAAATACACTTTACTGAATTAAATTCTACAAAACATATATTTTAAGTATAGATTGCATTTAGTTTTACATTTTTTCGAAGTATAAAAGTCGAATTAAAAGTCCAAATAAACTTAAAATCCATCAATTTTGCCATTAAGATATTTAAAATTTACAATTTTATTTATTGTACATGAAATATTTACATCAGACATTTTATATGTTTTTTGAAAGATAAAAAAGTTTTTTTAATAAAAATATTTTTGATTATCTTTAAATGTTTTTCAGGCAGATACATCTGGAGTTGTGTAAAACTTCAAAAATAGTATGTACTGTTTTTGGAATACAAATAGCTTGGGAGATAGGAGAAATTATTATGACTCTTATTGGAGCTCTTTATAATTTGTATGTTCGATTCATCATACAGCAATACAAAATAAAAAGTTGGGCAAATCAAACAACTTTTGTATTGGCAATGTGTTTTTTATGTATTCTAAAAGTTGTTCCTTTGAGTCGCATTTGCAAGTACGCGGCCGTTGAGGTAATTTATCTGGTTTATCATTT